ATTAATATAGTAAGAAGAACATTACATTTTGTGGCAGGGTTTTGCTTCTATTTCTTTTTGGAAAATGTCTTTAATGTTATGCTTTGCATGCATCAAAGGCCTTCCTATTTTGTATAGTGGTGTAGAACGTTGAATAGCATGTCTATTGCTCGGTTGTCATATCAGTGTTATACCTTGATGTGCATGTTGATATTACTGAAAATGTGAGTTTGAGGTCTATACTGTGCATATTGTACATTCCCTTTGCATTGCTTGAGAACCATATTGCAAACGTTGACATTTGTTCCTATGCCAATACCGCCATGAGTATTATTTATAAGTATTTTAAATAACCAGTTCCTTTCCTATGCCATGTTCTAATGCATGATTTTATACAAGTTTGCTCATCAGTCCTACCTGGAACCAATGGAAATCTTCAACAAATAAAAAGATGCAGAATTGGGTGCAGTTTATAGTGGGAGGGAAAAAGCTAGTTACACGTTAAATCTATGTTTGTTTGGGTTGTGGTATTATTTCTAGATAACATGCAGACAGGAATATTATTTTCAAGTGAAACAGCTTTGGATCAATTCTTACTTAGTTAATCAAAATGCTTCATAAAACTCCAGAAACTTCATAGAAGACCTGAGTTCAGAAAGAGATTTAGATGCTCTGCTGCTTAGAAGAAAGCTTCTCTCCTTTCTTCCTAATCCATTAAACACATTGAGAATACTTGCTATAACTTAGTGATTTCTGATTACCACCTAAATGCACTAATAAGCAGGGGTGAGTTGATTAAGATACATTATCCAGTATGAAGTTGGAGATGTCACAGTAACAGTCTATAATGGTCAGGGGTAGATTTGTTCCCTGGACTTAAGAGATCCCACCTGGCAAATCCTCTTTGCATGAGTGAGATGCTGATAGATGGTTCCTTAAAGCTACAATGGAAAAGAAGTTTAATATGTGTTACTAAATCTTTCAAAGCAGCAAAACAGGTCCTCAGATCTTGTTAATCCAGTTTTTGCCAGTTGAGATCTTGGCCCCATTACTTCAGTGTCCAAAACAACTCTTCAAGGATGAGTTCATGTGAGTGCCCACAATAATTGTATGTGTTTTTTCATTTCACTTCTTTAAGGTGGTTGTGAATGCCCTGGTGGGTGCCATCCCTTCCATCATGAATGTGCTGCTCGTCTGCCTTATATTTTGGCTCATTTTTAGCATCATGGGAGTGAACCTATTTGCAGGGAAGTTTGGAAAATGCATTAACAAGACTGAGGGGGATATGCCGTTAGATTACACAATTATTAACAACATGACCGACTGCGCAGAGTCTAATACAACTGGCACTTATTTCTGGACAAAAGTTAAAGTCAACTTTGATAACGTTGGTGCTGGTTACCTGGCTCTTCTACAGGTGGTAAGTTCTAGTTCTACCTACAACATTTTTTCTTGCTAGGTAGAAGTCCAACAGTCAAAACCTTAATGGTGCTAGGTATGGCCAACTCCCATTGAAATCAGCATACTGCAGGATTAAATACCAAGTTAACAGCTATGCTTTCCTTTATCTTGGCAGCAAAGCATACATTTTAGCTGATGTCAGTTATTTATATTTGAGCTGATGAAACTATCATATAGGTATTTAGAGTAGCTTTTGGTTTTATGCTGAGACCAGGAGTTTCCCAAGACAAATTTTATGCACTGCTAAAATATTGTCTCCTAGGAGGCACTCAAAACCCTAGGAAACAGGATTGCAGGGGATTTCCAAGCTCACCAGGATCCTCTATTTGAAGTCACCTTTGTTGGTGGTTTTTGTGCTTGTAACTCAACGCAAAATTGAATCAGAGATTCCAAAAGAGAAAGTAGCTCTCTAAAAAGGAATTTGTGTCAAAATATGGTGTTTGGGCTGTACTGAACCCATTTTAACTCACCAGTACTCCAGTTAGGTCCGATATGGAGAATGAAAATATGACTCTCCTTTCTTTCATACCAGTGTCATCCTGGCTCCTCCTACTCCCCATTTCCAGCTGCTGAATTTCATTAATACGTAGCATCATGGCCTCTGGGTCCAGATTCTCACCCACTGTCAATCTATGTTGCTTCACTGAAATAGAGAGCTTTGGCAATTTGTAGAAACTGAGGATTGCACCCTTTATGTCCTCTGCAAAATGCTTTATCGGTTTACTTGATGTAATTGTATGATAACAAATGGGATGGAAAGCAATCCATACAATGCAGGAGATGAAGGTGTAATTAGACGACCTCTCTATTAAACGATGGTGCACAGTGGTGTATCTACACATGCTATTAGTGCAATGAAATAAACTCCTGCACAGTTTGCACTGAAGTCAGCTTCTCCCGGGTGCAACGTTTACTTGTGCACCCAGGCCCACAGCACTTTGAGCCAGGGCAGAGCAGCCCTATGCTGGCAGGGGGCCTGAGGGGTCAGCCCCAGGTGGCAGTGGGGCTGGCTGGGGCCCCCTGCACTTTAGGACCCTCGTGCCCCAGCCAGTCCCATCATCGTCTACAGGTGTGTTTTAGCAGAGTAAATTACTCCGCCACAGGATAGTACTGTTCCTGACAGTACTATCCTATGGCAGAGTTAATTAATGTACTATGCCCTAATACTAGTGCACATGTAGAATGCAATGCTTTACTGCAGAGCTAATTAGTCAACTCCACAGTAAAGCGCATGTGTAAATGCCCCCAGCGTGAAGAAGCTTGACATCCCCTTAATGTCCTAACAATCCAATATATTCTGGAGTGATCACGTACAAGTTTTGCCTACAGAGCTGACAGTTTCCTGTGTGATAAACTCAATGAGTAATGTCCCAATAATTGCAGAGGCTACTGTACATTAACTGGTAGAGACCTCTGGTAGTTATTAGTAAAACAGCTATTCAGACATGAGAGCCCACACATTTTCTATTCATAATAGATTTCTCTCTCTTCAAAATGAGTTAATCTAGATGAAATGTAGAGAACATATTCTGTACCATGTTAACGCTGGCATGGGAATTGATTTTGAAAAATGAAACACTTTGGGTCTCTGATTAAGGTCTGTTTTAAGGCTCTGACAATCAACGCATATTCTACGTTCAGTCTAAAATTAGTTAAAATGACACCTACATTTGGAAAATTCAACCAGAAGCGAAGAGAGACATCCATTTTTTCTCTATCAGACAATCAGTCATATTCACCTTTATGCTTAAGCCCCATTGATGGTGCAGCCGTGGCCAGCTTACCCATAAAAGTGAAGTGTGGTAGTGTTCATGCCCTGTTATTATTCTTGTCTGGGTAGATAGGAAAAAGACTTGTTAGAGAAGCTTCTGTAAGGTTAAAACATGCCTTGTCTCCCCTTTCTATTAGTGCTGACAATACTTCTCACCTCCTTAGGCTGGTAACCTGAGCCTCATCCCTCTCAACACACTGCACATCCAGACTAAGTGTAGCTTCTTCTCAGGTAGAAGATGGCTCTAAAATAGGGAGTATCATTTACAAGGCTTCCTCCGCCTTTTTTTTTTACTGTTGATAAGTGACTGAGCCCACTAGGTTGCTTTTAGCACTTTCTGTCATTTGAATTTCTTATTTTTTTGAAGACTGTGCATTTTCTGTCCCCCAGCTGACTGAAGGTTTAGTTCTCTCCGTTAGGCTGGCTCACCTTCTTCGAGTGCTTGTCCACGTGTACTCTGCTCTTGGGATGCCAGCAGTGTCTATTGGGGCCACACCTGTACAACAAGTTCCCTCCACCCCATTACTAGACAGTACATCGTGCCCATATGAACAAGGCCACCCGAGCCCCTTCTTACTGCCTGTTGCTTCAAGACAGAACGGCAAGCAGCGTCCCCACCTCTTGCCCATTTGAGACTATAAAAATGATATTTGTATGCAAAGTGATATAGCATAGATCAGTAGTTAAGGAGCTTAAGATGGACTACCTAACTGGTATGGGCACCTTGCTGGGGTCACCTGACCCCAGTTCTCTTTCCTGCTTGGTGCAGGGGGCTGGACCCAATGATCTTCCAAGGTCCCTTCCAACCTCACAATCTATTAATCTATTTCTGATCCAGAAAGCTGTGGATACAAGTAGGGAATACTCTTATCTTGGCTCTTGCACTGACCAGTAGGAAAGAACTGGTGGAAAATGTGAAAATGATGAGAAACCTGGGAGAAAGTGATTGCAATATGATCGAATTTATGAACCTGTTAGATAGAAGCAGCATAGATGGCATCAGCTTTTCTCTCACAAAGTGCTCACAAGCCCTGAACTGGGTCTTTCTGGGAACCAAAATCATGCTAGTCAGCACAGCGGTGTACATTAAATTAGTATTAGCTATAGAATAAAATGGATTGGAGACGAGCAGTAGTGAAACTGGAAGATAACAGGGTTAACACAGAAGACGAAGAAACTTGCCGCTGCTTGTGGATGATATCTTGCCTTTGTTCCTTAGAGCAGGGTAACTCTTGTGGTGCAGTTTTATTTTAGTTTTAAAACGCTTCTCTAAGGAGGCGTTCCATTCAAAGTATTTTTGAAGATACAAAAATGAATCATTTCTGCCTTTAAAAAGCGGCCACTGAAAATTAATTGTGATATTCATATTGTGATGTCTATATTCTCATTTGAAAAGAAAACCTCAGAATGTCAAAATGAAATGTTTGTTTTATTTCAAGGTGCCTTTTGGTCATGCAAAGGTGAGGGGCAGTTTGCCATGGTCCACCTATCCACACCTGCCCTAATATACCCACAGTCAAATTGTGAAATACAGTCGTGCTCCAAAATGTGTTTATCAGCAGATAGTCTCATCGTGTGACAATTTCTGCTGAATATGGTGTTCCTCTGGATAGCTTCCAGGAAGGATAATATCACAAACACCCCCATGAAGATTTTGTCACTTCTAGATCCAGGGTATAAGTGGCTACTAATTCCAGATATGTCATGTCTTGTCCCAGTGTTATGTTTCTCTCATTCCTGATATCTGCTCCTCTCGGCGGAAGTGTCTAGGGAAGCCTTCCAGAAGCCAGATGGGATTTTTAATGCTCTTATTTCTGGACATCTTGGGAAAATACAAAATCAAAGCTCTGCATTCCTGTGATATTTTTCTCAGAGCAGTTCACCAATCACTGTCACCAAGTACTGCCCTGTATTTTGCTAAATGCCTTTTTATGACATGTGCTGGAATATCCAGAAATAAAATGTCTAGTGAAAAGACTTCTCTTAAAAAAGGAGGAAAGTACAAGTTGGGAGCCTATCAATTTCTGCTGGCACAGACAATGCGACCTCTTATTTCTTCCATCCAGCCTTTCTACACAGAAGACTGAACTGGAAGCGTCTATAATAAAATGGGAGAGCCTTTTACAGGGTTAAAAATAAGCAGCAAAAAGGAAACTATCAGAGTAGCTGAGAGGTTTCAGCATGGCAGGGTTGAGAGAGATCAGCATGGCAGGGTTAAATATTCATTTGTTTCAATAAAATGTCACCTGACCTCTAAACTCTTTTCTGACACTCTGAACACTCATGTATGGATAGATTTTTTTCCCCAAGTACTGATTTTCAGGGACTGCCTATTTTAGCCCGTAGTGGAAACGTGTATGACACTTTGAATAGTTTTATGTGAATTCATGAAAAATAAATAGGGCTGACCCCTTGGATAAAATTTGTATTGGTTAAGTAGTATTTAAAAGAGAGAATAGACTGCAAGCACTACCCAAAGGACTTAATTTAATAGCAGAGGGTATATAATGGAACTTTTCACAAAGTATTTTAGGCATACCTAGCTACACACAAAGGGCTGAATTCCCTCTGGGAGTCATGCACAAAATTCCAGTTAGCATTATCTGGAATTAGGTGCCAAGGCACTACAATGAAAACTCAACCCCAAGTGTCAGCAGGAATACTGGACATGATTCTGCCTCCTAGCATACTAGTATAAATCAGGGTAGCTCAGTGAAAGGAAACGTAGCTGATTCTTTTCTCATAACAATTATAAAATCAAAATACAACCATTGATTTACTCCTTATTTACATCCTTGCAACTCGAATGAGAATCTGATAAAGTGAGGGTGATTTAGAGCAGAGGCAAGTTTAAGGCTGTGTAATTTATCATCAGTCTTGGAACTGTGGAAAGCATATATTGGAAACAGAGGGCAATATTCTTGATGCAGAATACTAAAACCACTTCTTAGCATCTTAGTAGTTGATGCTGCCACCCTTTCACACTTGAAAAATCTTTAAAAATAAAAGACTTGAACCCTGATAGAGTCTTTGGTTTAAACAGAAATGTCTTTCATATTTAAGGAACTTAGTAAGGTGCAGCAGAGGTGTCATGAAGCCCCCTTTTCCTTTTCCTTCCTCCAAGTCCTGCACCAAACTTAGCACAGAGAGATGCAGACAGTTGGGGACATTGGTATTTCTTGTGTGCTTGAATTGTATGTGTGCAGAAAGGAAGAATTTCAAATTCTGGAGACTAAATTGATTTCATAGATATTAGGGCTGGAAGGAACCTTGGAAGATCGAGTCCAGCCCCCCGCCCCAGGGGCAGGAAGTCAGCTGGGTCATAGGATCCCAGCAAGATAAACATCCAAATGCTTCTTAAAAGTGTCCAGAGTAGGAGCTTGTACCACCTCTGGGGGGAGTCTGTTCCAGGCCTTGGAGGCTCAGACAGGAAAGATGTTTTTCCTTATGTCCAGCCTAAAATGGTCCCGCAGGAGTTTGTGTCCATTGGACCTTGTCATCCCTTGGGTCGCTCTGGTGAGCAGGTGCTCCCCCAGATCCTGATGCACACCCCTTATGTACTCATAGGCTGCCACCAAGTCACCCCTGAGCCTGCGCTCCTCCAGGCTGAAGAGTCCCCTGGCTCGCAGCCTGTCTTCATAAGGCCTGTTCTCCTGCCTTCTGATCATGAGTGTGGCTCTCCAATGCACTCTTTCAAGCTTGTCCACGTTCTTCCTGAATTGTGGAGCCCAGAATTGGACGCAGTACTCCAGCTGCATCCTCACCAAGGCTGAGTACACCGGGAGGATGACATCCTGGCTCTTGCTTGAGATGCATCAGTAGATGCAAGCCAGAGTTTTGTTCACTTTGCCAGCTGCAGTATTGCATTGATGGCTCATTTTGTGGTCAGTCATAACCCCCAAGTCTCTTGCAGTCACGGTGCTAGCTAGTGTATCATTGCCGAGCCTATAAGAGGTGGAGCACCTTGCATTTCTCTGTATTGAATGCCATCAACTTTTCATCTGCCCACCTTGCAAGCCTACTGAGGTCAGGCTGGGTCACCAGCCTATCCTCAAGTGTGGACACTCTTCCCCAAAGTTTGGTGTTCTCAGCGAACTTAGCCAGTCTGCTTCTGACACCAGTCTCCAGATCGTTTATGAAGACATGAAAGAGTACAGGTCCAGGAACGAAGTCTTGGGGGGTACCACTAGTCACCGAATGCCACGTTGATTCAGTTCTGTCAACTACCACCCTCTGGGTCCTACCTCAGAGCCAGTTCCCCAGCCATTGCCTGTGGAGTAGTCAAGGCCTCAGTTGCCCAATTTTTCCATGAGGACATCATGGGTTACCAGGTAAAAGGCTTTTTTTAAAGTCCAAATATATGATATCAACTTCTTCCCTTCTGTCCAGATGATATGTCACCTGGTCATAGAAGGAAATGAGATTGATCAGGCAAGACCTACCTGCAAATTTAGGCACAAATAGCTAAAACACATTAATGCATGTGTAGATGTGTTAAGGTGCATTAACACTGCATATGGATGGACTTGGAACTAATTTTAATCCCACATCAGTCCGTGCACTCAGCATTAATGTGCTTTATTGCATGCATGTGTAGATGAGAGCCTAAATCACTTTAATGAGCATTAAGTTAGTGTACATTAAATTTAGGCATGCCTAAATGCACATGTAGACATACCTGGTGTGAACAAATACCCGTGTGTACCTATGGTTTGAAAGGAAAAAGCAATTTATTAACAGTGAAGAGCCTGCTTTGCATAATATTTTTCAGAAGGACACTAGAAAGTGATGATGTAACCAATTGAAATGTGCTTATATTTTTCAGAATGATGTATTTTGGGTTTTTTTCTTTCTCAGGCAACATTTAAAGGTTGGATGGAAATTATGTATGCAGCAGTTGATTCACGAGGGGTAAGTTAATGAAACTAAATGCCACCTTTTGCTTCCTCCTTTCCTGTCTTAGTTGAGTTTTGCTCCAGTCAGGGTGATTAGCAGCCCATAATATTGCCACCCCCTTATTTCTTCTCTCTTCACAATGTTCCTTAACTACTCTTGCTTCTGATATAGCTTACAGGCTTTGATTTCCAGTGCTGGGTAACCTGGAGTCATCTGTGTCACCAGTCAGTCATTAGAATGAAAGACCATAATGGTGGCCCTAGTTGTGCCTGCGCAACTTGTCTTCCTTGGCGATGCACTAGGCTTAACGTAAAGAATTTTGTCCCCATGTGTTAGTGAATGTTATCACTCAATAGAACAGTGATTCTCAGCCAGGGTGGTGCAGCATGAGATCCTGGGGTGCCATGAGATCCTTCCAGGGGGGCTGCAGCCCCCAGCCCCTATGCCAGGAGATAAGTAATTGATCCTCTTCCCACTGGGTGCCCCAGCATCCTGCAGACAAGTGGCACCCATGCGAGCAGTTGAGTGAATGTGGGGCCACAAAGCTGCACTTTTGAGCCCAGCTCATCCTTCCCACTCCTCCCATGCTCCTGGGGCAGGTAGGACAGGATGTGGGAGAATGTGTCTCTGGTCACTAGTGTGAGGGTCGCTGGAAGTCAGCTATGGCAGTGGGACCCTTCAGGCCCAGAGCAGAGGCAGGGAGGGGGCAGATGGTGAAAAAGCAGGGCATGGTAGGGTGACATCCTACCCCCACTACCCTGACCTGGCACCAGCTAGATTCTAGTTCAGTGGCTCTCAACTGGAGTGTCTCTAAAGTCCAAAAAGCTATGGAGGTTTCCTTGAGGGTAAAAACATTCAGAACCACTGCAATAGAAGTTCAGCACTAAATGTAGTCGGTGGTAGACAAGTGAATAAGATATACAGCATCTCATCATATATCCATTGATATCTATGGTAGTTTTGCCATTGTTTTGAATAGATGTAGGTGCTGGCATATCATTTGCGTAGTGGGGGTCATACTGTTTTCAGAGTTACCTTGGAAATGTAACTAAAAGGGTACAATCATATTAAAGTATTGAAACATGGGATTGACACCCTCACCTGAAGGTGCAACACACTCGCACTGATGCCTGTCACACAAACAGGAGAGTAGGATTTGAAAGGCCAGATACAGACCTGGTATAAATAGGTTGAATGGAGCTACAGCACTTTACATTACATGTTAAAATAACTTTTGGAAATACCACATTGGATTCTGTTCCCCACAGTGCCTGAGCCAGACAGAAAACTCAAAACCCTGGAACTGCTGGCATCAAACTTGAGACCGAATAGATCTTTCGATTTTCCATTTTTTTTTCCATTACAGGATATCAAAAGGCAGTTGCAATTAGTTCTGAGTGGTCACCATTAAGAAATTAACATTTGCCAATAGACTTCAAACAGGGATCACATTAGTTCATATTCTTAATGTAAGAAAGAAAACTTATAATTAACAATCGGTAGTTTCTAACTATCCTATAGCTTTTAATACAGTGACATCTATTAGCATATAATTACACTGTGGCTCTGCCATTGATATCCAAGAGTACTTCTAGTTCGTATAAGAAGGCGGCTAATCAGGACTTTAATTTGCTACCCTTTTGGGCTCCTACTTAATACAGTACAGTGGATGCATTCGAAAGGTGTACATTTTGATAAGCTGCCATTAGTGTGTAATGATGGTGTTATCATAGTGACAGCACTGTAAAATGTAACAGAAATCATTGTGGCATTTTGGACACCAGAAGTGAACCTTTAATGGGGATCTAACTTTTCTGTTATTTGCAACTGAATGACAGATTATTTTAACAGCAAAAATATTTTGATACATGTGATGATGGCGCAGTTTTTCTCCCTCTTCTTTTTATGTTTGCCTTTTGTCTGTGCAGAGTGAGGAGCAGCCCGCATGGGAAAGTAGTTTATACATGTACCTCTACTTTGTGATTTTCATCATCTTTGGGTCTTTCTTCACATTGAACCTCTTCATAGGTGTCATTATTGACAATTTCAACCAACAAAAGAAAAAGATAAGTACTATATATGCTGCACAGCCCCTTGTGATTGCTACGTCGAGTGGCACTAGGGACGGACTTATCAGCAATGGCGTAACCACTCTAGCATCTTGATTAACAGCATATCCTTAGAAACCATCTTGTATTACTTCTACAAAAACACAATTGCAGCTGCCCCTTATCTCTGCAGGATGAGAGCTCTGCAGACATGGACAGAAAGATTGTGCTCACATAAAGGAGGACTCATGTGACACAATAGTGTAACCAAGAGGGCTACCTTTGGGGGGAGGCGTGCAAAAATAGGTGCCATCACAGCCATGGGTTGATCTAGGATTTTGAAATGGTGGGGTGCTGAAGATGTAGCGCATCATTATTTATAACACAGCACACATTTTTCTCCAGTTAAAGAGAAACTAGAAGCTTTACCAATATGCTAGGGAACTTGCACTACATTTTTTAGCTTAAGATCAAAGCAAAAACAAATATAGCAATTGGACTGTGCACTAATTTGCTAAATAGCATATTAAGTTTTAAAAAGCACAACAAACTAAGCCAAAAATAGTCAAGATAATCAAAAGATATTTTGTCATTAGTTCTACAGCTATTTTAGTTAAATGTGCATCTCTTATTCAGATTCATAAAACAAAATCGAGTTTGCTTAATTGTCATGACAGTGCCTCCAGTACATCACTTTGGTAATTTTTACATCTGAGTTAATGTTACCACACCAGAGTTAAGGTTTTTAGCTACATCTAAAAATGGTTTGCAGGCCTATCATTACAAGGAATGGCTAACAGCCAGCAAATTTGCAGAAAAAAGAATAATTTGAATAGTGGAACATCAAGCCAGTTAAAGAAGATAGAGAGCCATTAAGACCTGTGGGGTAGAGAGGAATTAGCAGATTTTGGGGAGATGATATTAAACCATTAAAATCAGTTGACTCCCTCAGCACTGCCTGACTAAAAATGATGCTGCCCCATCCAGGCAGCTGGTTTTAAAGTTTGGGTGGAGCCCTTGGTCACAGCTGTCCTGCTACACCTCTGGTGTGAAGCAACACCTGGCCAGTAGAGCCTCGGGGAGGAATTGTGCACTAGACTAATTAGCTGTGCAGTAAATGTGTCTACACATGCACCCCTATTATGCTGGAGTAAACTAGCTTACTCTGAAGCAGCACACATGTATATGTTGCCCCGGCTGGCTGGGGCACGAGGGTGCTCCAGTGCAGGGAAGCCTTCCAGCTTATCTCTTGTGAAAGCACCCACGTGCCCCAGCTAGCCCCTTCACAGCACATTGAGCTGGGGGAGCAGCCCCAGGCTGACAGGCTGACCTCCTGAGGTCCCTGCCAGCCGGGG